CGAGGAAGAAGATGTAAGAAGATGCTGGATGACCTTGGGTACAGAAGAGGATATTTTCATTTGAAGGAGAAAGCTCTAGATCGCATCAGGTGGAGGAACTGTTTTGGAAGAGAATGTGGACCTGTCGTCTTGACAGATTACAGATGAATGATTAACTATTAAATTAATAATTTGTTTGAAATGTTGCAGATGCAGTATGGGTGACAGTTATTCTTGCTATGATTGGGAAGTTCGGAATCGCAGCCTCCTTTGCTGTATTCTACGTGTTTGTTGGTGAACTTTTGCCAACTGTTCTTCGTAGTCAGGCTATGGGTATAGCTTCATTCATTGCAGGGATTGGACTTCTTGGGTTTCCTTATGTTGTGTACTTAGTAAGTAGAATGATTGTTTACTTCAGTGATTCTCAAATTACACTTTGCAAAACCATGGGGTTCCATGAGAATTATGCAGCGCCTCCAGAGATGTGTGATGAATTTCATGATGCATAGCTTCAAAAAGTAAAATTATAAATCTAAAATTCTGATACTGCCCTTCATCAACCCTGCAACCCAAAGCTTAATCAAAAGACAATGAATGCAAGAATTTTAAATTCCTTCCATTATAAATGATTTTCAGCACAAACTTAATTCACATGACAAGGATTTTCTATGCATAACACAGAATTTAGATCATCAGTGCTCCATTTTATATTTTTTTATTGTTCTCCAAGAAAAAATTACTTTACCTGAATGCAGTATCCCTTTTCATCTGACTAATCAGTTAGTGGTAACAGAATCCAAACGTTAAGTACCACGAATAAGAAAATTACTGGACATGATTTTGAACAAATCCCACTCACTTATCAAACAAGGTGACAGCCTGACAACAATTCTGACCTATGTTAAGTAAGATGAAATACCAACTTTCCTGATGGGATTTCTGTGGCTCTCTGCAGTCCCTCCAGACAAATGCCATGACAGTTCTTTACACTAAGAAATGGTCACTTCCTTCTCCATCCTTTCCAATTCATTACTCATAATCATCAGTCATTTGGTGCTGTACAGTCTTAGTTAATGAGACCATCATTAAATATAATAGAAATAACTGTAATGAAGTCCATTTCTTCTCTGTCACCTCACACACATGCATTATTTCATGGTACATTGTTCTCTTTTTTTTTAACTGTGACATTTAATTCCAGTTTGGTATGGTGTGAATGAAAGTGTTCAATGTCTGTGCCACATTTACTTATAAATGGAACAGAAGAGACCATTTGGGGGACCTAAACATAGATGTGATATGAATGAGTTAAAATTGATCTTAAAGAAATCGGGTGAGAGGACTGTTCTGGTTTAGAGTAATCTCCAATGATGGACACAGTTAAACACAGTAATGGAAGATTTGAGGCTTTCACGGCGGTGACTATGAAGAAAGCAGTCTTCTGGGATTTGGCACCGTGTATATGTGGTGTTAACCGACGTTTCGGAGGAACGTATCGCCCCCATCTTCAGGGTTGAAGAAAAAGTTTAAGAAATCTGCAAGCGACAACACCGTGAGAAACGGTAAAGCAGACCATAAATTCTACGAATGTGTCGTTGAGTAGCCTCCCCATAGAGGAACACTATGTAAGATTTGAGGCTTTCACGGCGGTGACTATGAAGAAAGCAGTCTTCTGGGATTTGGCACCGTGTATATGTGGTGTTAACCGACGTTTCGGAGGAACGT